TGATGTACAATCGGGCAATTAACATTTTGGACAGGAAACCAATAAGAGCACATCATAACTATTTTCTCCAGACACTGAATATGTTAAGTTTTGATCATTTCAATGATTTTTCATTTTCAAACTCAATCAATAAATGCCTACATAATTAGGCTCCCCAGCTGCTCAGTAACCTTGTGGTTCCACTTAGAGCTTCTGGCTCAGTAACACATGGAGCAGCTAATGGGAACTGTAAGGTTCCCTTTGTAAATCCTCATTTTTCTGTCTGTGGAATTAACGTGGAATTCTCCACCTACAGAACTCAAATTTGATGCTGATTTCGATCACTTTAGACTCAACTGAGTTTAATTATGTAGTGCATTTTTTGTCTTGTATTGTTCTGTCTACTTTTATTGTTATTTGTACTTTGCACAGTTACTTGTGTTCTTGTTGCAGAGTCTTTTGTATTTTATGGTCCAGCTAGGGACGGGCATTATAAATTAGCTTGGGCTATAAATGCTGTGGAGTGTGGCATTTATGTATGCTACATACTCGTCCCTATACAAATAAACTTTAAATAAATAAATAAACTGATAGGGGAAACACTGAATCTTATGACAACATTGATTTAGAAACGTTTACCCTTGAAGGTACCCTTTGTAGATGTCTTGTTAACAGACAAAATCACACCTTAAGGATACACACAAAGCTCTCTGGTGCATAGCAAATGTACTGAGTGTATTTCTTTCCTCATAACTGGCTGCATTGTTGACATCCATGTTTACCCTCTGGCAATATTCTTCTTTACTGCCTTTTGCTGGCACATTGCTGTATATGTAGGGTAATTACTTTTACTGGTCAACCGGTTGAGTGATGTGAAACCATCGGCAGGAAGACTTGGTGTTGGGAGGGTTATTTTTAAAATGTTACATAAAATGTCATGTGTAATGTATTCCATGAAATTTCTCAAACTAAATAACGTACTCTAAATACTTTGGATTACTTTTCGATTATCGTCTTCCTGGGCTCATTTGTCTGGGTCTTATATTTCCATGCCAGAAACACATAACAGTGTCTTGGCTGTGCATTCCTTCTGCCAGTGTTGTGTGACAGGTGCACTGCACCCGCTTCTCTATCTGTTTATTGGCAATGCATGCCTCATATGAATTTTACACAGTGTCCTCACAGCCAGCGAGCGTCACTCTGTGTCCACACTGAATCTGTTAATTATGCACATCTGTTAAGTCATGTAAACAAACCATGTAGGCTACTTATTAGCTGTAAGCTTGACTGCAGATGGAAACATTTAAAAGGTGGGTGAGTTGTTGCTATCTTTCTACGTTTGTACATTTTAAACAGAAAGCTGAGACCCACTCATAGAACAAATGAAACAGGGACCTGCTCATAATATAAAGATATGGGTACCCACTTACAGAAATATTGCTCCACTGCACTAATAGTGGTCAAAAACCTAGTGCACTATTGATGGGACCGTACTTATGTTCCCCGGGTCCTATATTTCCCCCATAATATAGGGACTGGAGAACATAGGACCCTTTTTCCGAAAAAGAGTCCTATGTTTCCCGCTTTTCCAAAAAAAGGGTCCTATGCTCCTCCACAATATAGGGATGGGGTCATCCCTATGTTTCCAGGGTTCTATGTTTCCTGGGTTCTATGTTCCCCGCTTACCACCCAAAAAGGGTTCTGTGTTTCCCGCTTGGTTGAGCGGGGAACATAGAACCCATGAAACATGGAACCTTTTTTATGTAAGCGGGGAACATAGTTCCTGGGAAACATAGAACCTTTTTTGTGTAAGCGGGGAACATAGAACCTTTTTTGCAGGGTTAAGTGGGGAACATAGAACCCAGGAAACATAGAACCTGGGAAACATAGATACGCTCCCGGGACGGGGTCCGGAAAACATGGGACCCTTTTTCCAAAAAAGAGTCCTATGTTTCCCGCTTTTCCGAAAAAGGGTCCTATGTTCCCTCCAAAACGCAAAAGAAAAACGCACTTACCTCATGTGATCACGTGATTCAATGCCCAAAGGCACAGACGACGCTCCCCAAGACTCATATGTATTTAGAAAGGGCTCATTTTATCCACTATAACTGCCGAATTCCGCGACAAATAGCCTATGTGGGGCGTTCTTGATTTAATTCAGCATTTTCCTGCATAGTTTAATGTTGCATATAAGACATAGCCCATGTGACGCACATATCCAAATACTATAATGTAGGTTATTCTAGGTTGTAATTGGCTATCGGCTTTATGTGAATGAATGGAGAAACTTGACGCCTTCGTAATGTTGACAGTGTCTGACCAATTCATGCATAGCCTATGGGCTACAGGTGCTGGAAATAAAGTTTAATTAATAGGCCATCACACACACACGGAATTTTCGAATTTGAATTCGACAGTTATAGTGGAGAAAATGAGCCCTTTCTAAATACAGTACAGGCCAAAAGTTTGGACACACCTTCTCATTCAATGCGTTTTCTTTATTTTCATGACTATTTACATTGTAGATTCTCACTGAAGGCATCAAAACTATGAATGAACACATGTGGAGTTATGTACTTAACAAAAAAAGGTGAAATAACTGAAAACATGTTTTATATTCTAGTTTCTTCAAAATAGCCACCCTTTGCTCTGATTACTGCTTTGCACACTCTTGGCATTCTCTCCATGAGCTTCAAGAGGTAGTCACCTGAAATGGTTTTCCAACAGTCTTGAAGGAGTTCCCAGAGGTGTTTAGCACTTGTTGGCCCCTTTGCCTTCACTCTGCGGTCCAGCTCACCCCAAACCATCTCGATTGGGTTCAGGTCCGGTGACTGTGGAGGCCAGGTCATCTGCCGCAGCACTCCATCACTCTCCTTCTTGGTCAAATAGCCCTTACACAGCCTGGAGGTGTGTTTGGGGTCATTGTCCTGTTGAAAAATAAATGATCGTCCAACTAAACGCAAATCGGATGGGATGGCATGTCGCTGCAGGATGCTGTGGTAGCCATGCTGGTTCAGTGTGCTTCAATTTTGAATAAATCCCCAACAGTGTCACCAGCAAAACACCCCCACACCATCACACCTCCTCCTCCATGCTTCACAGTGGGAACCAGGCATGTGGAATCCATCCGTTCACCTTTTCTGCGTCTCACAAAGACACGGCGGTTGGAACCAAAGATCTCAAATTTGGACTCATCAGACCAAAGCACAGATTTCCACTGGTCTAATGTCCATTCCTTGTGTTTCTTGGCCCAAACAAATCTCTTCTGCTTGTTGCCTCTCCTTAGCAGTGGTTTCCTAGCAGCTATTTGACCATGAAGGCCTGATTCGCGCAGTCTCCTCTTAACAGTTGTTCTAGAGATGGGTCTGCTGCTAGAACTCTGTGTGGCATTCATCTGGTCTCTGATCTGAGCTGCTGTTAACTTGCGATTTCTGAGGCTGGTGACTCGGATGAACTTATCCTCAGAAGCAGAGGTGACTCTTGGTCTTCCTTTCCTGGGTCGGTCCTCATGTGTGCCAGTTTCGTTGTAGCGCTTGATGGTTTTTGCGACTCCACTTGGGGACACATTTAAAGTTTTTGCAATTTTCCGGACTGACTGACCTTCATTTCTTAAAGTAATGATGGCCACTGGTTTTTCTTTAGTTAGCTGATTGGTTCTTGCCATAATATGAATTTTAACAGTTGTCCAATAGGGCTGTTGGCTGTGTATTAACCTGACTTCTGCACAACACAACTGATGGTCCCAACCCCATTGATAAAGCAAGAAATTCCACTAATTAACCCTGATAAGGCACACCTGTGAAGTGGAAACCATTTCAGGTGACTACCTCTTGAAGCTCATGGAGAGAATGCCAAGAGTGTGCAAAGCAGTAATCAGAGCAAAGGGTGGCTATTTTGAAGAAACTAGAATATAAAACATGTTTTCAGTTATTTCACCTTTTTTTGTTAAGTACATAACTCCACATGTGTTCATTCATAGTTTTGATGCCTTCAGTGAGAATCTACAATGTAAATAGTCATGAAAATAAAGAAAACGCATTGAATGAGAAGGTGTGTCCAAACTTTTGGCCTGTACTGTATATGTGACTCTTGGGGAGTGTTGTCTGCACCTTTGGGCATTGAATCATGTGATCACATGAGGTAAGCACGGTTTTCTTTTGTGTTTCGGGGGGGGGGGGGGGCATCGGACCCGGGGAACACAGGACCTTTTTTCGGAAAAACAGGGAACATAGGACCCTTTTTCGGGAAAAGGGTCCTATGTTCCCCATTCTGCCGAAAAAGGGTTCTGTGTTCCCCATTTGCAGGACATTGGGGGGAACATAGGACACGGGGAACATAGGGATGACCCCCTATTTGATCAGGCCAGCACCAGCACCAATACTGATCACTCCTTCAGAACCTTCCAATCAACCTTCAGAAAACAATCTACACGTAAATAAAATGTCTTTAAAAACAACAGTTTTCTACGGCTTTAATCTAATGTTGTGAGAAAGAGCTGACTCAACTTCACTTATACTGACTATACTTCACTAATATTTGTGTTGAGTTTTGACAAATCAAATCAAACTGGTGTGTTGACTTTATCTACCCTCGACAAGGTTTCACAGAGACTGACAGCAAATGCAGTCATGACTGACAGTGTAGCTGCAGCGCAGACAATCAAAATGTTGATACTGGAATCCAGTACAGTGGAAATGACACCACGAGAGATGGAAATTCCCCAGGCTATTCCTCTGTCCCATGAGACTTTGGACAACTATTGCCTTTCTCTTCTTCCTCCTGTTCTACCAAACAGCTGAGTGTGTCAAATCCAGGCACATTTTGAAGAGTTCTCAAAAGTCATGAGTTCTCAAAATGTAGGGTTTTGAAATGTAGGAGAGCGTTAATTGACATATAAGTAGACGTGGGACACTTGGCACTTCAAAATAACTCCTGGATTTGCACTGAACAGCACAAACTGATAACACTCTGCGGAAAGAAAGCAGAGATCTCGTCTAATGATTGTCTTGTCTCTTTTTCAGAATGAATGGACAGAAGCAGTGGACGAGGGTGGCCGTGATGGCGCTCCTGGTGCTAACGGTGATGGCAGCTGAAGGAGGCAAAGCAGAGAAACAAGGTGAATCTCGCAAGCTCAGGACATGTTCTTCAACTACAGACAACATCTACAGAATTCATATATGCAGATTTAGATTCTCTTTACATCATACTGATATGAAACAGGAGCACCATGATGTTCAGTGTTAAATCAAATCATTAGACATTGCTTCTGACGGTGGATCCTGCTGTGAAAAGTGTTCCTCCCAACAACTTATTTAGTTGGACACAACTCTTGAAAATATATGAAAATGAAAAAAGTGCCTTTGGGGTTCAAGTAATTGGTCTCCTTTGAGAATTTACCAGAGACAAATAGCAATATCTTGCAAGCACAGCAAAATAAGTCAGATAAATCCCACTTGGGTAAAGAAAACAACATTTAGCTAATTTAAATTCAAGAAAAAAGGTTGATTTGCATTGGAAATTAGCACGAGCACTAAACTAATTACATCTGCCTTGAAAATATATTAAAAAGTCCAAGGGTGGGTAAATACTTTTACAGACAGTGCAAGTAGCAGTTTCCATTTCTTTTCTAATAAAAAACTTAGATTCTAACACATTTTTCATAAGCGGAGCTGGAGACGTGAGACTCTTGGCGGACTGAAGATATAAAAATGAGAATTTCAGACTTGACAGCTGTGAGACTGGAACTTGACTCTTTAAATACAGGACTTGACTCAAGCAAAACCCTTTGAGTCAAAGGTTTTGACCTGCTAAAATGCAGGAAAAACTAAAAATAAGACAACATCGGGTGAAGCCCTGCATGGACACACACCTTAGTTTTTTTTTTTTGACTGACTGACTTCAGGTAGGGCCATTTGTGTTAATACGTTTTCACACATTTTTAAAGACTCCCTTCAGTGAAAATCAAGCTTTTAACTATGTTAACATGTCCAATGGTATTTTTTATATGCTACAAGACATATTGTGAAAAATAAGCATTTCTGCTCTGGAACTGCGGTGTACCAATGACAGTCAGGTTTGTTACGTCACAAATCCAAGGAACCAGTCCTGTCAGTTGTAATTTGTAATGTTCATACATTTTGCCAACTTCAAACTCTTCTGGCTCAGTAACACGTGGAGCAGCCAGCGGGAACTGTAAAGTTCCTCTGTGTAAGTCCTCATTCGGACAAACAGCTTTTTCTGTCCGTGGAATTTACATGTGGAGTTCTTTACCTACAGAACTCAAATTGGATCCTGAATTCGATCACTTTAAACTCAAACTGAAGCAGTTTTTGAAGAGGAATCAGTTATACAGTCATGAATATTTTTGTGCTTCCAATTCTATGGTGCTAATTATGTATTGCAGTTTATGTCTTGCATTGTTCTCTCTGTATTTGTACAGTTATTTGTCCTTTTCACAGTTACTTGTGTTCTTGTTGCAAAGTCTTTTGTGTCTTAAGATGCAGCTAGGGACGGGCATTGCAAATTAGCTTGGGTGTGTGGCATTTATGTATGCAAAGCTGGCAATCAGAAACAAAACTGATCTAATATTAGCATCACATTATTAGCAATCTGATACTGCAGACAGATCGAGGGCTCGTGTTATCTATTACCGATTACAAGCAGAGTCAAAAATCAGGTGAGTGACTAAGGGACGGGGTCAATTTGCATTCCGTGCATACTAAATGAGGCAAAGGTGTAGAGTTATATTTAAGACTTCTGAGGCATAAAGGGATTTTTTTCATGGAAAAATTCCAAATAAGTAATTTGATGAGCATGATGGTGCAGTGGTTAACACTGTCACCTCACAGCAAGAGGGTTCCCAGTTTGAACCTGGAGTGGGGGAGCCCTTCTGTGGAGAGTTTGGTTTGGGTTTCCTCCAGGTGCTCCAGCTTCCTCCCACAGTCCAAAGACATGCAGGTTAATTGATGACTCTAAATTGTCCGTAGGTGTGAATGTGAGTGTGAATGGTTGTCTGTCTCTGTGATAGTCTGGTGACCTGTCCAGGGTGTACCCCATGAATGAATGAATAAACAAAATATTTTTAGGGGTTTAATCAATGCCCACAAAAATACTTTAATATTTATATCTTATGTAGAATATTTGATTATGACGCCTGCATGGCAGTGACGTAAAACCAAACTACTGTTAAATAATTGTGGTGATAACATCAAAGAGTTACTAAGGGCTCATTTATTTTCAATGTTAGATACAGAGACAGAGACGGACAGAGCCTTCTGTCTGTACTTTGCATTCAATTTATCTGTATTTGTGCATGTTTTCCGATAGCTTACAGATAGAGACAAAATGGAGCAGTGCCCCCTGAGATTGAAGCGGCATTGTAGCGTAGTTCAAGAGATAGGACTGTAAGAGATGACGAAGAAATTCAAATAATGGCGGAATGAAACAAATTGCTAATATGGTGAAAAGAATTTTCTCTCCACATGTCGGGATGTATATATAATGGCTGCACATGCTACTGCCATCTGTTCAAACGTACAATATTATGACCTCTGCCACTGTCACCTCATTTGCCTCTAGTGCCATCTTTTATGTGTATCTATGCCATTATAAAGGATGCATGGACGTATGAGGGCAGTGATGGTAACAATGTTTGAAATGGATGTATCTATTTTTGTACATGAAGGGAGTAGAAATGAGCTGTAAGGTGGTGTACGTTTGGTCCTACAGGAAAGAAGGAGCGCAAGTCGGACTGTGGGGAGTGGCAGTGGAGTGTGTGCGTAGCCAACGAAGGCGACTGTGGACTCGGCACCAGGGAGGGGACACGCACCGGCACCGACTGCAAGCAGACCATTAAGACCCAACGCTGCAAGATCCCCTGCAACTGGAAGAAGAAGTTTGGAGGTGAGTGACAACACAGATATTTCCACACCAATCCAAACGATCTCCTGTAACATGATATTAAAATAATCTACGACCGCTAAAAGACCCCGAGATCTTCCCTCCTTCTGCACAGCTGCATGACTCCCATCCCTCTGTCACCCCACACCTCCACATAATGTATGCCGGCCTGTCACTCACACAAACAATGGTCCCATTTTCACAATAGGAATGAGTAAGCTAGCTAATTAGAGGTACAACGGAAATGTCTGCAGAGGAAGTGATACATCGTCATGGAAAACACAGGAATAATCACCCTGCTTTGTCATTTGCTTTTCGGGCTTGAGACTGTGCAGCCTTCACCGCTGAAATGTCTTGCAGTGACAAGCCTGAGGGACTTTTGTTCCCCCAGTAAGGCCTGTCAGGCAGGAGCCTGCTGCTCTCCAATGAGCCTGTCACGAGTGATGAACACACTGCAGGAAATAATGGTCCCGCTAACTGGCTATATAGATTATAGCAGCAAAAGTTTTGGAGCAGTGGCAATACGTTACATGCCTCTGGCCTTTAAATTGTGGAAAGTTACTTGAGAGAAGAAAAGAAAAGAAGAAGAGGCCGTTTTGTTTTAAGCCAGTGCCTATTTCATTTTGGATATTTTTCCAATCATAAAGATAAATACTGACACATTTTGTGCCGACACCCCACAAAATGCGTCAGAATTGCTGTGAAAAGACCCTGTGATCTAACCCTGGCAGCCAAATCTGAATTCAAATATGGTGCTGCTGTCTGTCATCAATGTATTTTGCTTTTAGATTCGTTGGTACATGTAGGTAGCATATTGCATTAGGGAACAACATCATGGGGTTTTAGGTACAATTATAAGAACCTTGTAATAAAAGGGTAAACCTGGAATTATGGAGTTTTCTCTGAGAGTCGTTCCGGACTCCATCTGGGTTTTTGTGCAGCTCACAGGAGTACAACACAACGACGCAGGAAGAGCAAATATTGTACTGCTGTAACCAGGGTTGCAAGCAGCATAAGGGCAGCTACACAACAGCTAATGGGATTCTATACAATAGGCCATAGAAATACTGTGAATGCTACGATACAAAGCCCAAAACATATAAGTGACACTGAACAGAGATAAACAAAAGGAAATGCATAACAATACCACACATATTTTCTAATCTTTTCTCAAACTGCCCCTGTTGAACTCTTGTGGACAGGGGTGTCATAAGCCCTGTTTCCACCAAGCAGTACGGTACAGTTCAGTTAAGTATGCTTTTTTTTTTTCCACTGTGAAAAGTTGTGGATGGTACCAATGGAACCGTTCTGTACCGTCCCCATGTTTGGTCCCCCCTCTGTTGGGGTACCTAGCACACAGATCTGGTACCAAAAGGTGGAGCTGTGAACACTGCAGTCTGTTTTGGTGCCACAACTATATTAAAACTGGCTGAATAAAATTAAGAGACTGAATTTTGTTCTTTAAAAAAGTGGAGTCTCACTGAGCCCCTCTCACCCCTCACAAAAGGTGAGAAATGATTTAGTCCGCCCCTGCATTAGGCTTCATCTGCAGCTAGAGCTGAGTGAGTGACTGCTTATGCTGCTGGAGCATCACAGAGACTGCTAATTCATAGGGCCCTGAATTTGATGCTAGGCCACTGCTTGTGGAGAAAATTTGCATTATTATTATTATTATTCATTATCTATCCTAAAAAAAATATTGTAAATGGTCTAAATCCAATCCTTAGAGTATTCTCAGCCTTGAACTGAAACCTCTCCTGTGTGCCAAGCGTGAAGGAGAATTAAAATGGCCAGTATGAAAACGTATTAACACAAATGGCCCTACCTGAAGTCAGTCAGTCAAAAAAAAAAAACTAAATTTTTAAACGTGCCCCTTTCTATTTTCTATTGTTATTCCTTAAATATCATTTTACAGTATTTTGCTCGTATTTTTATTGTATTATTCTTTTGTCATTGTATTGATAAACACCTTGTATTGCATTCATTGCTTGAAACGTGCTATGTAAATAAGTCATTTCTTTCTACTGAACTACAACCACTAACTGTACCACTGCACAGGGAGCGTGCATCTACTCATGAAGAAGCTCTCAACAAGGTCTGTGGATTATCTTGAGGAACCAGGTCGTGATTTCTAAAAAACGACACTGCTGTTGAGTTTTTCAAATGTATTTTTTGACGCTTTGAGCACCACAAGCTGAGAACTGGGGTCTGCCAATTGGTCCGACAGCCCATTGTTCCGACATCCCATTGTTCCGACCATATTAAACCCATTGTTCCGAAGTCCCGTTGTTCTGAAATCATCATGATGCCCTGTGGTTAAGGTCTGGTTAGGTTTAGGCACAAAAACCACTTGGTTAGGGTCAGGAAAAGATCATGGTGTGGGTTAAAATGAAAAAGAAAGTGTCAAACACATAAGCCGTGAGCCTGCTTCGCCTCAAGCCTTTCCCAGCTGACCCAGAGCCGGTCGCGACGCACCATCAAGGCAGAAATACGCCCACCGGGAGCCGTTCAGCACCGCGGAGAGCTCCCCACATAACCCTGACCCCAGAGTTAATAACAGGAGGTTATGGTGTTTCACTCTCTTCTCTCTATGGCACTTGTATCTCGACCAGTAGCCTACTTTTGTTGCCTTTGCTGATCCTCTATGGTACACAAATACAATATAGCCTAGTATAATCACATATCGGAACAACGGGATGTCTGACCAATGGGATGTCGGACCAATGACATGGACCCATCTACGGGCCTTTTCCATTGTCACTTTTGGCAGCATCAACATTCTTTCCCTTGTCAGTTTTATCTTGCCAAGCTGCGACAAGCTGCGCCAGAGGTGAACCTTCTCTAGAGTAGGACAAATAGGGTGCCCTCCCTCCTCCAAACAGGTAGCGGTGACATCTTGTCAACAGCAACCAATCCCAACAACTCCCCTTCTCCCCCTGAAACAAGCATATGTGTTGTGTGACTCCACTCTATCAGCCAATGACATGCTGCAGCAAAATTTTTTAAATCTGCTCTCTCTTCTGCTGCTGTCAGCTGTCATTTCAGGCAGAAGTGTCGTGCCCTCCTCCACCCCGTTCACCTCCAGCCACCGTATCCAGAGTGTAGGGCAAGCTCAACAAAAGGCCATTTTTCTCCCCATTCACATCATCAGCACTTCTCCATCCACTCCCTGCCATGCTGGCCTGATGGGCCAGACTAAACCAAACCATGCCAAGCCCAAGCCCATGACTGTCGAATAGGGGTATTAGTTCCATATCTTGGAAAGAAGGCAGACATCTTTACGGCCGATATCTTCAACACTCGGCAGCTCACACCAAAGCAATCTATACTGATAAATAGCACTACATGTAAGAGGAAATATGTATTTTTTATTACGGGGTGAACTGTCCCTTTAAAATCCCTACCAAGCTTTTGACACTGGAATTCAAAGCCTCTAAACGATCAGATCTCTTCCAATCATCCTGAAATCTATACAGGACTCTGCTTGGATGAAGGGTTGCTGATGAGTGGGTGTGTTCACACTTGTACAACCATTTTTATTTTGCCTACTTGTATGTGACACCTTAAAGAGGACATGGGCAGCCTGTCAAACTCCCAGGAGCCAGCTCTCCCTCTCTCTGAGACAAATTATGGAGGCGCAAGGTTTTAAAGTTGGATGCTCAGGAAGTCCCTGTGGGATTCTTGCAACAATGGCTCTGTCGCTGCCTCTCTCCCCTCTCCGTCCCTCCACTCCTCACCCCTTCCCTCCCCTCTCCCCTCCTCTGATGAGCACCCGGGGATCTCAGCGGCAGTGACAAGGGGTCCGACACTTTCATGTGAGAGGAAGCTGACGAATGAGTGTCACAGCCTCCAGGGAGCCCGGCTAGAGTGGCAACAAAATAATGGAGGGAGATATGAGAGACATGGGCATACAGTACACAACCACACACTCATGCACACACACACACTTCCTCAAACACATTTGTATAGCATACACTGCTGCCATTTTATGGAGCAATCTTGCATCCTCTGAGGTTGAGTTTAAGGTGGGTACAATTTAAAATCAAATAAAAGCACATATGTGGAATCTATTGAGGTGCTGCTGAAGGTATGTTCATTTCTCTGCTGCCGAGATTGTATCTGTCCATTATTTTCAGGATGAACTGGAGCCAGGCTGCATTTGATTGCATTCATCTGTTGGAGAGTTTCATCATATGGGAAATGTAGGATCAAAATTGTGAAGCACCATCTGCTCCTGCAAGGAAGGAGCTATAAACCTCTTTTATTTTATTTTAATAAGAGCATCGCTTGGTTTTGTGGATCTTGGGCAGTTTCAATTGATAGCAAGGAGATAATAGCCAAGTAAATTAAAAGCATTCATCAAACAGCCATTCAAAGTGTAGGACTCTTAGCTCCGCAGGCTCGAGGGGGTTGATTCACTGACTGATTGCAAGTGACTGCTTATTTTTTAAACAAATATAGGTGCTGCATTGTGTCATTTTTACCAGGTTTTCTGCTTGATCTCACCGACACTAAACCTCCTCTGAGCTACTTCACCAAACAAAAGCATCTAATGAAGTATCTGATTTCTTTGTGCACCACAGGGGAATGCAAGTACGACTTCCAGGCTTGGGGGGAGTGCGATCTGGCAACGGGCAAGAAGAACAGGACGGGTGTGCTGAAGCGAGCGCTCATGGATGCGACCTGTGCCACCACTGTCACAGCCACCAAGCCCTGTGGGAAAATCCCCAAGACTAAGCTGCAAGGTAAGCGGAGAGGAATAAATCATCACTAGATAAAATGTAACTCTCGCTGAGCGGGCTGTCAGCAGCAGCGGGGATCACTGAAGTCCTGTTGATGGATCACCGTGCCCTCAGAAATATGGCAGGGGGTTCTCTGTACTCTAATAAAAGACATGATATTTTAGTGTTTAGTTTCAGCAGCATAAACAAAAATTCAGAATGGCAACTTGATTCGTTCAATAATTTACAAAACGCCAACTGACTCCTTTCTTGTGCGCCATGAGAAAAACATCTGTATTTTCAATGAACCTTTTATACTTTCCACCCGGGACAAAGCAATACAACCCAATCACCATAAAAGATGTTGGAATTGAACATTTTTGCAAACCTCAGATATGTTACACTTGTTAGTTATCTTGGAGCAGATAAGGCTGTTGTTAACATTTAGTAAGGGTTAGACACAAAAACCACTTAGGAAAGTTTCATGTTTTGGCTAAAAAAAAAAATAGTTTGGGGGGCAAAACTGGGTAGGAAAGCAACAATAGTGGCGTTTCCATCCAAATGTATCAAAATTTTTGAGCGAATTTTGTGAAAATGCGCAAAAGAAAATGCAAATTTATGCCCGTTTCCATTCGTTATTGTTTTGCGATTACTGGGAGTCAACAGGAAGAGCAGTAGGTGGCGCTTCTCGTGAAAAATGAACAAAATAAAAACACCCCCATAGAAGAAGAGTGCGCCATGAGATGATGTCATAAGAGAGTGTCTTATGCCCACTGTAAACAACAACACACTTTACCGACACTCAACAACTGACCATGGACAGATTCCTGATAAACCTATCGGCTCTTGGGAGAACTCTGGTTAGCATTTCGCATCAGCGTTCACAGTGTACCTAACCATCTTGAGGAAGAGGCGACAAAGAAGAAGTTTAATGTTAAGAGTATTGTCAGAAATAGCTCGAAGGAGACCACCGCGTCGTTCTCCGTGTTTATGGGAACGTAGGGGTGTGAAGGACTTTTGGGAAGTAGTTGCATTTCACTCACGAACTCTGGCTGAAACATTTCTGTATGTCAAGGGCCACATTTGAGGATCTGTGTGCCGGTACGTCATCGTTTATTCGCAAAACCTGTTTCCATTTTCCTTTTATCGATACACTGACAAATCCACCCTCTCCAAGCGTAAGAACTTTATTTCTAAATTTCTGCCGTTTCCATCCAATTTTTTGTCCCGCAATTTTTGAAAATGCGAATAAAAATAGGTGGATGGAAACCCCACTAATGTCTCTAGAAAAACAACTGCTTTGCATGCTACTATTCCAGCAGGAAAAGCATTGATGTCTTGGAATTAAAACAAGCATTTTTCATGGCACTATCTCGACAAGAAAAGCCTGTCTTGGGGGAAAAAAACTACCACATTCATGACACTGTCTCAACAGGAAAAGCAGCAGTGTCTCAGGAAAAAAACTACTGCCTTTACTGCCTCTGTTCCAGCAGGAAAAGCAGCAATATCTCAGGATAAAAAAACCCAACAACTGCTTTTTGTGCCACTATCCCAGCTGGAAAGCAACAATGTCTCTAGAAAAATGATCGTTTTGTGTGCTACTATTCCAGCTGGAAAAGCAGTGATTAACAAGTGCTTTTCATGGTGATACCTGTGCAGGAAATGCATGGAGGCAAAAAAAAAAAAAAAAAAAAACGCTTTTGTGCTACTATTCGCATAGGAATAGCAGCAATGTCTTGGTAAAACACCACCACTTTTCATGCCTCTATCCTGGCAGGAAATGCAGGGATGTCTCCGTAAAAAACAATCGCTTTTCGTGGTACTACCCCAGCAGGAAAAGCAGTGATGTCGCTATAAAAAACACACAAAGAACTGCTGCTTTTTATGGCACTATCAGGGCAAGAAAGCAGGGATGTCTCAGGGGAAAAAATAAACACTTTTCATGCTACTATCCCGGCAGGAAACGCAGCAATGACTCGCTAAATCACAACTGATTTTGTTGTTCGCTGGTCTGCAGTCCACCATCCCTTCCACCTCCCAGTGAGAAAGTCAGCTTGTATATTACTTCACTTTAGAAAATATGATACATAGGAAAACCAAAGGCAGTGTTTACATAGTTTGCAGAAACGTACAACGCCAACATTTTCCTCTGGCGACTGCGCTGCTTTGCAATGTAACCTAGACAGATTTTTTTTTTTCCCAAACACTGTCCTTAAACTCTCGATGCAACACAGTCGCCTCTTTGGACTAGTCTGAAAGCTGGAAATGTCATATATTCATTATTCAGAGAAAGTGCATGTCATGATGTCTGCCTGGATCAAAAGAACGACCCATGCAGAAACAAACTAATGATTTACGAGAAGAATCGCTCCAGTACTTCCTGTCAGATCACTGTAAACAGTTACTGGGAATGTTAGATTAGTTGGTTTGTTTTAATTAATTATAGCTGAAGGGATGTTTACCACTTGGGTATCTGTTTATTTAGTTGAACTGCTGATCGTCCCTGTGACAAGCTTGAATGTTTTGTGTCAATTTTGGAAGTTGGATGTGTTACAGCTATGACACACAGGTCAAAATCTGGAATGACATAATCCGATTCTCACTTTGACTGTGATAAATTAGCATCGGTAAGTGCATCAAGGTGTATTTTAAGAGTGGATTCCTTTTATCCTCTTTGTGATAATTACTGTGTAAGTTCAGCAGATATTTATCTCGTCTTCTGGCACATCTCAGGCTGATTGCAGGCTGATTTGACTAAATCCCACAAACCCTTGCAAATGATTTTAATCTCAGGCACTGCCAGCTGTGATTCACATTCACGTCAGCGTGATGGAAACCCACCTACTTAAGTGCTAACTTGAAGCAGCGAGTGACAGTGTGAGAGCAGAGGTGAATAGGTTAACTGACTATTCAGCTGTAATTACATGCTTTTAGTGTTCTTTCATCATGTCAAAGAAACTGAAGTTGGGGAGCTCCTACTTCCCACAGTCTATGGAAAAAGGGCAGCTATCGGAAAACTGGAGTTAAAGAGGACTTGTTATGCTTTAACATATTTTGTCTTAAATATAGTGGTTAAATGAAGGATGTTTATATTAAACACAAATGTAGAAGTAATCCCAGTGTGTGACAACTCAGATTTCTTTTTTGAACACTCCGCTCCCAACAGTTTTTTCAATGTCTTACAACGGTATGATGTCATAGTGTGATGGACTTCTTTATATGGTCATCTGATCCAGGCACACTACTGCAAGTGTTTACATTACATAGCCTACACTGCTACATGTAGCTACATGCTAACGTAATGAAAACGTGTCAACTTGGTTGTGAATTTCTCCCTGATTTCAGATCAGATTCCTGCTGGAACATGTCTAGTTCAGTTTAGATGCTTTTACTGGTGAATTTTTCACAGCAGAAAGTGACGCTGTTCTCCGTTACAGTCATTCCCCCGCTGCAAGTACACTGCTAACATACGTGTAGCTACATGCTGATATCAGCGAAACATGTAAACTTGGGTGCTGATGTCACCGGCTCACCCTTTTTCCACCTTCAAGGGCAGTGGCCTTGTGGGTAATCTGTGAGGTTGTGACATGTATTTAATGGTGTATATGGAGGGAAGCAGCGCTCGCGGGGTGTCATGGTGAAGACGCATTCAGCAAATAGGGATGATAGCAGCAGAATTAAGTGTCTAGATGAGCTCATGAGAAGGTCATGTCTATTGTTTGTGGTGACGACTGCAATATAGGCATTGTTGTGAACAGCACCCGAACGTCTCGCAACCCTCCTTCTGCAAAGTGGTCTGGACCTCTAGAAGCTAGATACCAGCTAATAACAAGTCAAGCTAATTTAATGTTAATAAGTGTTCCCAACTATAGTTTGGAGCCAGTAAGCTGTCATTGAGAGAGGTAACACGTAAAACACAGCTGTTTTGTCAGTGATTATGCTGTCAGACATCTGACGCCAAAAGCTACCTTTTGCAGTGTTATCATACATCGCCAGCTGGCTAGACAGCACCTGACGCAGCAATATGATACACCAGCGTTCAGTGTCAGCTCATAATGTGGCCAGACAGCACTTGTCACGGTGGTATGATACGTCGTTGGACGGCGTCAGGTTGAAACGCTGCTGGTAACGGCATAATACAGGGAGCTGGAGAGTCCCTATAGGGTGGCAGGAGGGTCGGTGAATGGTCAAACAAACCATGGACTTTCACCTGGGAGCCTGGTGTTCACTTCCTGTATGAATGTGGAACCAGATCACGATGATGTTTTTTTTCTAAACCTAACCACGTGCTTTTGTAGATGTCCCAGCACTGGTAGCGGCATCCTGGAACATCAACAGCAGACGCAGAGAGGTACCTAGCGTGTAATGTGTAGACATGAAAGGCCACTATGTGACAACTTGGGAAAAGAACCTGTTGGTCATTCCCTGCTGCAAGTACGCTGCTAACATACACGGGAAACATCAGGGAAACATGTAACCTTGGTTGCAGATGTGATTTCGGATCATATTCCTGCTGGAACATGTCGAGGTGTGTTTTTATTGGTGATTTTTTACAGTAAAAAGAGACGCTATTATCCGTTACAGTCGTTCCCCGTCTGAAATGACGGTGCAGAGATGCTAAGATCTCAAAGACCATGGAACACTAACTAACCAGAGCAGACTGGGCTTTTACGTGAGGGGGGGACTTGAAGAGACAGGTGCTAAAACAGAATGTTTCAGACAGCAAGTGTATACAAGTGTTTCAGCACAGACAGTATGAGGAAAATGTTTAATAAAATTTTTCAACCATTGAAGAGTGTGAACATGCTCTCATAGAAACCTTAAATACTAAATATTAAATAACCATGTGGACGCATGTAGAATATAATATGGTCTGCTGGGTTTACAACTGCTGATAAGAACACACTCGATTCATTCCAAGTGTGGCGATGGCCTTTGTTAATTCTGTAAACAAGGATGTAACTGACCCAGTGTGGCTGCCCCATTGTCCAAACAGGATTATAATGAGTGCAGAATTGCTGCCA